TTTTCTAGGGTGACCATACATCCTATTTTTCCAGGGATTGCCTAAAAGTCCAGGTTTTGGCTTTGTTTTCCTATTGTTTTCATACTTGCTGAAGGTATTGAGTGAAAAGTAGTTTGACCAATAGCGTGCAGGAATTGTACATAATCGACCAATCGTGGCATGTGAGAAGGCGGGATCTAGAGAACAGTCAAAGCAATGCAAATACGCACACATATAATGTATGAGGACTGTAGAGAGAACGCTAATCGGAAAACAAGGCCAAAACCTGGACTTTTTAGGTCATTTAAATGGTTTTCCTGTAGTAGTCAAAAAACAATCCCAAAGAAGACTTGAAATAACGGAATGTTGTTATTTGTTGTGTAATGACATCACAGTAAACTACCACTGACCTTTGACCTTATTGCCTGCAGCCTTTTGAAAAATTACCAGCATTTGTAAAGAGCATTTAACCTCATTTGTATTTGTGGTGAGTAAAAGAAACTATGAAAACACTATGAAACATGCCATAATGATAATTCACTTTAGCCCACAAGCCTCAATCTGATTGGCTGGTTTGTACAAACATTTACATATATGCATGTAGCAGATGCTTTATCCAAAGCAAAAGACAAAAAAATCAATTTGTCAAAGAGACAACAATATATGTGATACACAATGCCAGGTTTATTAGACACCTAGAAATGTAATAGTACATTAATTAATGTTACATTAAAGGCTTTTTAATTCATATTCAGTTCCATGGACAAATTTGTTATTTATTTAAATGTTTTTTTTTATTTTTTTGCAAAATTTTTGCTCCAAGTAATATAGTTTTTGAAAACCAGGCTAATTGAGTTTTTTTTTTAATTATTATTATTGTTTTTAATTTTATTTTACAACTTCGATTGTGGCTCATCCAGTCAGAAATCAAAGACTCATCTGAAATTAGATTTATATTTGCTTGCTGTTCATCATATAAACCAATCATTTCTGTCAGGGCCACTATCGTCAAAGATGATTGACAATTAGCATACAGTTTGGATTGGCGGTATGGTTCTGTTCTGGGCAAGAATTCCCTGCGCATCCATGCAGCCTAGCATGGATGAGAGCAGGGAGAGCAGCGATAACCCCCCCAGGGTAAACAGAACAGAACCAACATAAATGTATTGCAGATATTGTTAAAGTTCAATCATTTTATGTACACATTTTAGAATTAGTCTGATTCAAAGGAGAATCAGAAGGTTGAATCCTGACTGACAGAGGAGGAGTTGGGGATGGAGGAGGGTAATTAGCTATTGAGCAATGCGAAACTGCTGATAATACTGAGGGACCTTATATATGAATGCTTAGATAGGTGTCGTATTCCCATAGGTAGATGGGGATCAGCTGAAAGTCAGCTGATGCGAGCTTGACTAACGTGACCTGCCAGAACTAACGCTACGCTTGATATCTCTTCTTGGAGTATGACTATTAGCCAGATTCTTATGGGTTTGGAGCAACACGAGGGAGAGTAAATGATGGTTTTTGGTGAACTACTCTTTTAAAAAGTTTCTGTGATCTTTTTACACTGATTGTGAGCTAAAGTTAACAGCTGCTTAACATATTTAAAACACATGTATTTCTAAATTTTGATTTGTTCTAATAGTGTTTCACTTCTAGAACCATGTGACCATCTTGAGCAGAAACATCATTTTAAACGACATTTTAATGCTCCTTTTTGCATCTTTATTTGAGCAATGCTTTATAATTTATATGAAACTATAAACTGTTAGCAAGATAATAAGATAATGATTGACTGGCTATAATAACCATAATCAGATCATGTTTGTTGGCATGAGAGCATGTTGCGGTTTGGCGTCTGCATTATTATCTGGCAAACTGTGATTAAGCCGAATCTTTCCTGCAGATTACAGTTCAGCGAGACTCAAACTGTGTTTTCCTCCAGTCGTGCATCAGCCCAACTATTCTCCATCAAATACTCGTTACTGCAACCAGTCGGATCCAATTATTTGACATTATACTGAAGCAAGTAAACAGGTTATAATGAGCACAGAACACAGAGCTCAATGGAAATGACGGCGGAGAGGCTTTACTTTCATGAATATGCTTCCACGAGTGTTAAATGAGCTGTGAAATGAGATTGCATCACACACACGGCGTTAAAAAAGTCTTAAAGTGTTTAAAAGGAAGACTGAAAGAAAGTAAAAAGCCAATCTCACTTTCGGGAGGAAATCTGGATCATTACATTGACTTTTGGAAGCCGTCAGAAGAGTTTGATTTTCTAATGGCGTAATGGTGAATGCATGCTTATAAATGCAAATACAGGACACACACACACACACACACACACACACACTCAAACACACACACACACACACACACAGCGACAGACGAGTGTCTGTAAATCACACACACACACACACACACACACACACACACCCTAAACCTTCTGACAGATGCTTATTGAGAGTTTTACAGACACTTGACTGTCGCCGTGTGTGTGTGTGGATCTACAACAGCTCAGTTTTTTGCATTTTCTCACGGTTTGAAGGCATTTTGCACCTGCTGTGGAGAAACTTTAATTTGCATTTGATAATTTTGTTCCTGTTTCTGAGCTCCGGGCTGTGAATGAAGTTTTGCACTGAGCTCATTCTCTCCTCGTGACATATGCAAATAAATTAGAATAAAAATTCCATAGTAAATTAAACCTTTTTGAAATGACAATTTCACTTATAACACTGAGAGTAATACAATAAAGGCTCTGCTCCCGTGATATTTCAGATGAGGTAACCGGTGTGTGATATATGAATATCTCTGTCTGTCTCAAATGTCACACATCACGTCTATCAACATGTTTAATCCAAATGGCATTTAAATGCAGATACAGTCTATATAAGATCTTCAAGTGAACATCAGTTATTTTTTTAAATACTGATGGTGTTAACCAATGATATGTGAAACATTCATTGTTTACCTTGATGAATATGTAACAACATGCTGCAATTTACTGGGTGATAAATGCATTTTATGATCACATAATTATGCTGAAATTCTAAATCTGTGAGAGTCTCTGACACTGTGTATTTTCACATTACTGTATTCTCAGGGTTAATTTATTTTATTCACTCAAAGGCCGATTATAGACTCTATTTCCAATTCAACAACCTTTCCATATCATTTGAATAAATCAAGGTTCCCCAAACGGGTTTATAAAAAGTCAATAATTAAATCATAAAAATGTAAAATTAAAATAGATACTTAAAGTAAAATAAAAAATAATCAAAATTAAACACTTACTTAAAAAATATGAAATATATATATTTTTTCCTGCATGTCATGTGACCATTAACCACCATTAGATAGCTATGAATATGCATATGAGTTGATAAATTATTGAAAAATTAACTTAAAATCAATGTTTAGTTATTATATATTAACTAAATAGTTATTATTATAGTTATTATAGTTAACTAAAACCATTAAAAAAAAAAAACATTTTTGTTAGTTGAAATAAAATAAGCATTAACTGAAAAACAAACTTAAAAAAAAATATATATATATATATATATATAACTAAAACCTAAATAAAAGTTAATAAAAAAATGATATAGGCATATTTTTTTTTAAAAACACAAAACTAATAATAAAATAAAAACAGAAAATAAAAACTTCAAATTAAATATTTTAAATAAAAGGGGGTCGTCTGACTTAATAGTTTAGAAATCCTTGGAATAACAAGGTAAACTGAGCAAAAATCATCGCATCAAATAATATTTTTGTCAATTTTTATACTTTTTGCCAAAAAAAAAAAACCCTCTGTGTGATTTAAAGTGTAACAAATTCAAATATTGTGCATCTTTTAATTCTTCTTGCAATTCTATCAAATTTCTATCGACACAAATGGCAGCATTTCCTAAGAAAGAATCTGATCTGTTTTTATTGAGCTCAGTGTTTTTGACGCTAAAGTCAGGCCATCTTCATATCATATAATATTCTACTTCAAACAAGACAGCAGTTTCATATCCTGGTATTATTTTAATATGGGCTCAGCAAACATAATAAAGCGCTGTCATATGTTCAGTCACACGAGCAAACTATATTTCTGCAGGTGCCTGTTTGAATCAGTGTTGAACACTCTCTTTCTGTGATTCACACGCGGCGATGGAGAGCAATACGGTACAACGGGAACGCCAGATTACATTTTCCAACCTGTTATCTTCATCCGCCTCCACCAGCGTTACCATGACTACAAGCACACAGACCACCGTCCTCTCCTGAGCATCCGCTCCTCATAAACACAAGTGTGAGTCTGTGCCAGAGACGCACAGAGAAGCAATGCATGGAAATCAAGTCACACGCCACTGGAATGATGGCGCCTGGATGGAGAGATCTGTTATCGATCCCTGAGCAAACAGACACTCATTCCACCTCTCGCAGGAAACGCATCTATTTCTGAACTTCATGAAACACTCAATTATCACAGAACACGGATGTGTCGTATTTCACACTCATATTTATCTCACAAATCAAACCCGTGTTTGCAAAGGCCAGAAAAAGTGAGTCAAAGTATAAAAAACAAGCGACCGAGTAGATGTAAATCTATAATGCAAAGATTGTTACATAATCCTAATGCCAATTCCTGTAGATCTCCTTTATTATCTCACACAGCTGAAGCAATTACTGATATAAATTTTGCTTGTAAAAAAAAAATGCATCAAATATACTGAAATATTAGATTTAAAAATGCATCAGCTATACTGAAATATTAGAGATTTAAAAATGCATCAAATATACTGAAATATTAGAGATTTCAAAATGCATCTACTATACTGAAATATTAGTGATTTAAAAAAGGCATCAACTATAATGAAATATTAGAGATTTATATATTGTGAGAAAATGCATTTACTCAGCACACACGGCGGGAGAACAAATGCATTTTTTTGCCTCCATTATAAACACAGTTTCAGACTGATGAACACTCTTCACAGTCACTGTTTGGAAAGCTGACAGAGTAATGAGAGACTGAAGAGAGAAACAGACGCTGAAGAGACTTTATTTGCTCACAGTAAATGAAGATCAGCTCAACAAACCAACACAATCCTGATACCGCAGACAAACACACACACACACACAAACATCCTCTAACAATGCTCCTCTTCTTCAGCACCAACCATTATCTTCATCCGTGATTCAACAGCAAGTTCTGCAGAGAACGAACAAACAGTCACGTCAACAAGCACTGATTTCCATAATAAACCTCCTTCATCAATTCAAGCCTTCATGTGTCGTTCACCTCTCCTTGCTTTAGTTTGAGTGATTCTATAAGCAGCACACTTTATAGTCAAACCCTCACACTCACACACACACAACTATTGTAATATTTCATTGTAAAATAAAAAATGAGTATTTAAGAAAAATAATACAATAATTTTATTTTATAGTAAAACTGTAAAATTACAGCTCCAACATTTACTGGTGTTTTAATTCCTTTACTTTCACGTTAAACCATCAAGCTTTTATTTTGATGGAAAACAGCAGGGATTCTATAAAGTGCCCCTATTATGCCAGTTCGAATATTGACTTTCAGGCAGTGTTTAATGTTTTTTTTGTGTTCCCGTCATTTTACTGACGACTGCTTCTCTAATCTCAGGGAGTTCAATGCAGGATTCACAAAACGCTTGCTCTTGAAAGATGAGCTCAGTACCCAGTTTATTTGGACCAGCTGCTCCACTGAATCACAATCTGTAAGTATGATAAATAATACATGTTTATATTTCCTATTGAGCATTCAAAATATGTAACTATTGCAATGGGC